GTGATGCGTATCGCTGTTAGCGACTGTGGTCCATTCTGTCTAATTTTCCTGATCGATCCCTTCCCCCTTTTAACTTTACACGTTTTCTTACATCCGCAATCATCTTCTCTGCTATTTCCTCCATGCACGCTAAACTCCAATGCAAACACGTCCCTTCTCGTTGTCCATCGTCTGTACTCAGCTCTGCGTCGGTTCGTGAATGAAGGTGGCCCTGTTGCTGACGTATGGGAGTGAGCAAGCCTGGACACGACAGGCGTGTGCAATCCTGCCAACTAGAGTCCAACTAAACAGCCAGGACTAGCATGGACGCTAAGTTCTATTACTTGCGTGTACATATAGTGTTAATTGGCCATTACCTTGGAGTGGTTATCTACTTAGTTTCAGCATATTTCAGCTTAATATAAGCCAATAAGCAGGGGCTGGATGGGAGCAGAAGTCCTCACAACTCCAGAAGATCTGCAATCAAGTTAAACTTTGGAAAAATTAGTGAGTTTGCAAACTTGAAAGCTGGAAATTTGGAAGATAGGAAAATTGTGAAGTTCAAGACAGTAACGTTTTTTTGGGTGTTTGAAGGCATTCCAACAAAGGTAATATTCCCCACATAATATTCTTTTCATGCTTTTAAGCGCATTCAAGCAGAAAGGACTGACGATCTCAACACTTTAATCTGTGTAAATTACCGAAAGTGTGGAAAATACGCAAGAAAACTTTTCACTAATTTTGGTGATTCGAGTAATTAAGGCGTTTACCACCTCCATCACAGTCTTCATTCCTTTCAAACAGGTTTATTGATTAAGTGGGAGCTTTTATTCATTCACACAGCGATTCATTAGTGGCATCCTTGATTCAGCGTGCTTCCTTATTATTCCACTAAATCTGCTCCATTCATTTTTCACCTTTTGCTTTCTTCGCCTTTCTAAACGTCCACTTCTATGCTTTTACTCTCTGCATCTCCTTAACTCTCACCACTTCACCCTGCTTTTATTCATGCTCGATACAGCTTTCTCTCATCAACTTCTCACGCCACCTATCTACCACCTTTGCCCATATACACAGAGTCACCCATAAGCTTGCGTAAGTGAATGAAACCTCATTTGCACTGAACGTGTCCCATGCAACTCAGGCATAAACGTGAATGTTTCATTACCATCCCTTACTCCTAGTCCCTCACACTTCACTGTTACATCCTCACAGCTACCTCATCAATCCTCGATTCATGGGCCAACGACCCATCTGCAGAACAGATGTTGCAGTGCTTCATACACTCCATGAAGGGTACGGCTTCTCTACCGCAACCACTAGGAGTGAGGGGAGAGATGAAGCAAGATTAATTGGAAAAAAGGTGTGATGGAACGGTTTTCCCCTTAAAAATGCAGGAATTACAGATTCGTTGAGAACCTTAAGCAACTACTGATGGGTACTTATCGAGTGATGAGAAAGTGTAGATTTTGCTTTCACTTCTACTTGTGCCTTTGCCAATTTATACGATTGCGCTTCTACTGCTGGCTTGCCAGCTCTACGAATCGGATAAAGATAGAATGACTGACCTAAAAAAATTGTATTAGAGGAAATGAAATAGGCGAAATGACGGGGACACAGGAATGCACCTGATAAATATGCATGGATAATCACACAGTGCGACATATCCCTCCTCCCTCAGAGACGCCTCATCTACCTCCTCGTTGGGTCACGCACTTACTCCTACTCTTTCTATGGTAAGTCTTCGATATTTGCTTCTTCCCTCACTTCTTTTTAACTTTGCCATCCACCTCTTTCTTGTTTCCCTATCTTCACTTTTTCTGTCCCTGCATCGCCTTCTTGGCCTTCCTACCCATCACTAGCACTGCTAATGCCTATCTAATATGGGAGATTGGCAACATGCCTGTATAGATATGTGTCCATAACTAATACCTATGTCCGAAATCTTTGAGACTTTCATAAATTTAGCTTTGAAGGAATGAGTGTAGGTAAAAATTGGAGGGAGGAAGAAGAAAGGAAAGACAGGGAGGTCTTCTTATTTTCAATAGTCTTGTTCGTCTTTCTGCCTATGAAGGTTGCTTCCTAGAAATTGGACACTTCCTGGGGCTCAAAACATTTCTCTTTCTTTTAAAATAGTTTGACCGCTTCATTGATGCTGTTTAGAAGCGTTTGTGATCTGCTCCTAACTAGAACCCGTTTCTATTAAAACGACCGACTTATTAAATCGAATGGAAAGGTCCGCAACTGTCTCTATGCGCAGTCACAAATTAGTCCGACATTAGAAGTGCCTAAAAATCTGGAAAGGGGTAATATCTTGACTTTTTACAATCACATTTTATCAAATTTAAAAATTTTCACTATTTGGACTCTGCGCTTTTCTTGCAATTTTTACTCAAACACTGATCGGCTAGCATTTAAGGAATTTGTGCCCTTGTTTGCCCCTCCTTATTGGCTTGTTCTCAGTGGAAGCATGCTCTAAGTAGGCAGATAACCATTAGAAGGCCATGGTCAGTCAGACACTGTAAAGACGCCCGAATGGAAAAATCAAGCCATTACAACATCGTCAGCCATCTGAAGGCTCTTTCGGTTATTCGACTAGCCACCGGACCTGTGAGTTCACCTGGCACTGACACTAAGGGACGCCTTCGGACGCAGGCAGATGCGAAGCTGAGTGCAGATGACAAGTGACCAGTAGGACCCTCCATTCTGTGCAGAGTAATGTGGTACCCGATGTGGGAAAGGGATGGCAATGTCCCAGCAATGTGTATATAAGTTTCCTGTCTTTAATCATCGTGACATCCACCATCTACTGCTCACAGTGCTCTTTTTGCACCAAAGATAGTAAGGTGGGGAGCCATAGAATTATTTGTCGTCCTATTTGGTCATAATTACATTTACCATTAACGCTATAGGGCGTTATATGTCCGTGCACCTCGTATTCTTTTAAAATTGGTGTTTTGGCGATATGAACATTGGGTCGGTGTAGTTTTCGCAAGTATATTACTCGTAGTTGTGAGGCCGCTACTAATTAAACAAGGATTTTGGCTACAGTGATACCTAGTCTGCACCCCAGACAAACAGATGAGCCCATGAGTGTTGCATCGTCTCCGAGGCATGAGATCGACTGGATTTTTGCTTAATGTGCAAATCAACATTTACGACACATTTCTATCGCACTGGCTATTCTTTTTCCAGCGTCAGATAGGCAGGTTGATATTATTCGTCAGACATGGAGGCAAAGAAGAATGGGTGTGAGATCGAGAAGAAGAATGGAGAGGGTTTGGTGAATGTGAACGTGAAGAAGGCGGTAGAGGTGGAGTTGGAGGCGAGGGCGGAGGTGGGGGTGGAGGCGGAAGCGAAGGAAAGAAAGACGAAGATGAAGAGAAGAAAAGGGCGAGGG